CAGCCCACCCGTTTGAACTAATAAAGTTCCAGGGGCCTAAGTGGTCACCTTAATATTAAAAAAAAAAAAAAAAAAAAAAAAAAAATATACTAGTAATCGACATGAGCATCATGACATATATCATTGTATATAGTGAAGATATACTATAAGCCATCACTACATAATACAAAAAAGACAGTGCTCTAACACTTTAATAAATACAAGTTTATATGCATTCTTAGCCGTACGTACATATATATGTAAGTATACATATATATATATATATTCAAACTTGACTATCATACTATACTATATATAGATGCATATACATATATTTGAACCTTAATAGTTAATAACTAGTACGTACGTACGTACCTAAACAAATGTATCTAGTATATAATATATGTTTAAGCATAGTTCTAAGTCGAATAGATAATCAACATAACAATTTCACTATTTAATACCGTATATTGCCAAAAATAAGCTACCTTTTTTGGCCAAAAAAGTGACACAAAAATCCCAGGGGTAGCTTATTTTCGGGTAAAATTTCAAAAAGGTTAATTTTTATTATTTCTTTAAAATCTAAAGGTAGTTTCTATATATAAAAATCAAAATTCTACTAAGTAAATCGATGAAGTCACTTAATAGCGGTTGTTCAGGACGTAAAAATACACATATCCTGAAAGTTTGAAGCAAATCAGAGAACATTTTACTAAGATGGTTTTGCATTTTACGTTTGAACATAAAATGCAAAAACATCTAGTAAAAAGTTCTCCGATTTGCTTCAAACTTTCAGAATATGTGTATTTTTACGTTTTGAACAACTCCTATTAAGTGATTTTAATCGATTTACTTAGTAGAATTTTGACTTTTATATATAGAAACTACTTCCAGATTTTAAGAAATTATCATAAGTAGCTTATTTTCAGAATTACAAATTTTCCTATGTTTCTTCTCCAAGAAAAAGGGGGTAGCTTATTTTCGGAGGTGGCTTATTTTTGGCAATATACGGTATCTTCATACTATGTTACATCATCAATAAATCAATTTATTTTCATACTATGTTACATCATCAATTAATCAATTTAACATACTACAAATATATCAAACAATAACGATAAGCAAGTATTACCTCTAGCCTTAACTTTTTAATAAAGACAAAAGCATGCATTTCACATAAGCTACGTATTAATATTAGTATATACAATTAATATACAAAAGAACAATTGGCATACAAAAGCATAATTAATATACAAACATCAATCTTATAAACGACCTGTGATCACATCCTCATATTCTCTAATCCTACAGTATATACTTACTCTTTCTCTTTTTGTGGGCAAGTTGCAATATTATAGCCCGGTTGTTTACACAACCCACAAGTATATTGTCCATGTTTTTTACTATCTTTTTCTTGTGTAGTCGTTGCGATATTTTTATCATAACTTGCTAACTTTGGCCTTCCCCTAGTAACTACCTTTCGGGAATTCGCAATTGATATTACATTACTTTCTACATTTTCAATAGTATCTTGATCTTCTATAACTTCTTCAACCAATTTATCTTCACTAGCATGAACCTTTGCTAGATACCCTTCAATTAAATCAATAAAGTCATTATCACGATGCAATATACACTTATTTACAGCAGTATAAGCAAAGCTCTGAACTTTTCTATAAAAAAGAACTTCATCAACAAACTTTTCATTTATAGTATCTCCAGTTTCATTACCAGTAAATAGTTGTAACCACGTAAATCGACACTCATTACTTTCTTGAACGATATTTGCATTATCAGCTAATTCATTAAATCATTGACCAGAATACGAATATTCTTTTGCTGCATCTAGTCATTTGTCTCTTGTAATCCATTGTGCTGCTATTAACATTAAACTAAACTGTGCCTTCTTTGTAACATTCAAGAGATAATAAAAATGACAACAAACAAGACCCTTTCTTTGTTACAAAAGACAGGTACAACCATATGGACTATCTGCAAGAAGAAAAATAAAGTGATTAATTCTATGACTAGTGACTCTTGACACTTTCCAGATTTCCTTAATTGTATTTCATTCTAAATAATCTAAAAGATACTTAGCTGACAAGTAAACTACATCAAACTTAATATTATATCTTTGCTTTAAGAAAATTCATAAACAGTAAGTGATTCTACTTCTTTAATTGTGGAACAACTGGCAGTATAATACAAGCTTTTTTTCATTTGATCTATTAAAAAATGTGAAATATTTGGCCTCAAATAATGTTTTACTAAAGATTCTATAGGGGAGAAAACAGTAACAATACTTGCTATGGAAGGAATACTCTGTTTCTATTCTTCAAATTGCTTTCGCTTTTGTTCTTCTTTACTTCTTTCCATTAATACTTTATCTAGATCACATAATGAAGTATTACTATTCTCCAACACTCGCTTAATACATGTATTTTGACTTTTGACAAAGGATATAAATTGAATCCCAAGTATAAGCATCATCATAGTGAAGAAACATGCCCATGAATAATGACGTTTATAAAGATAGCGTTCAAGGTATGGTTTTGCATTAGAGAAGCCCAAAAGCTGATTCCAATAGTATTCAAAGCCATGTAGCGTATCAGCATTCCTGTATTGCCAAAACTTGCAATAAAATTTATCAAATGAATCTCTTAACTTACTATGCAATACCTTTTTTAAATTTTCTTTAACATGCCAAATACAAAAAAGGTGTTGCATTTTCGGATACTCCAAAGTTATTGCTTATTCCATTGCTAGATTGGCATTAGTTACAAAAACGCGGGGGTATTTATTACCAGTAGCTTTTTTGGTTATTTGAAAAATCCACTGGTATGTCTTAGCAGTCTCATTGCTAAGAAAAGCTTAAGCGGCAATGCGGAATTGCATGTTATCATTTTGCACTACAAATAAAGAAAGAGTAGTGATTTAAGCTACATGATTTTAGTCGGCTGGCTAAGCCAGCTGACAAAAACATCGGCTAAGCAGCTAATAGTGGCTGGCTAGAAAATAAGTTAGTCATGCAACCAAACTAACCAAAATTCCAGGTTGAAATAATTGAAATTTAATACTGTAGCTTATGTACTTGTCCAAATGTTAATTTTGTTATAATATAGGTTTCTAGCATTATAGCTTAATGCTGGTCTAGTTTCGATATATTCGACTCGGTTATATAAAAAAATACTTATTAGGTGATTGGTGATCCTTAGCTACATTAGCCAGCCAACAGCTTTATATTGGCTAGCTTAACTGGCTAAGCTGGCTTAGCCATGGCTACTTCAGCCGGCTTAAAACACTAAGAAAGAGGCATGTTATACCTGTTGGTACCAGCAGTATTATCATGCCCAATTGCTTCTCTGAATTTACACCATAATAGAATTTGTTCTGGACTCATCCAGAACAAATTCGTTAATGTATTGGTTTCTTCTTCCCATGTAATTTCAACAAACCAACGGAAATCTTGTTGTTGTTTTGATAACAACTACCTGTAAAACTGTGATGCATCACTTCTAACTACACTATTTGACGGCCGACATCATCGTATTTTGGCATAGAGGTCCTTGGAAAATATAGGATGAGATAGAAACTTCTCCTTTAAGATATGCCGAACTATAGTTGCACCAAGATGACATCTAGTAACAAGGAATTCTACTTCCTTTTGCATCTCTTTTGTAAACTGCTTGTTTTTTTCAAAATATATTGCTTTAGAAAATAGATCATGATTGTGTTCATCATTAAAAATGGTAACAAATATGAGGAAATTGAGTTGTTTTTTAAAGGACGTAAAAAATTAATATACTATTGGCATGATGTTCAAGCCAAAGTGCCCTGCTTTCCAGTATTTTTAGGTTTAAACGAACCAGAATGCTTGCAGAGAATAGTTCGTTTACAAACCACCTTATCACTTTCAGCCATGTCTACCATTTTTACACGCTCAAGTCGTACTCTAAACCCCTTATATCTGAAAATCAACGTATATAAAGTTCAGCTTCATCAAAGGTGTTAAAAGAATCATCTTCTTTTAAATATACAGATTCTGGGTTATTGTGTATATCATTTAAATCATCCTTACAACAAGTAATTTTCTCAAAATACGTTGTCAAATCGATGTCATATTCTTTATTAAAATCTTCCATAATTACTGTATGAATTTTTTTTTTGCCGTTAAAACTGTAAAGAAGAGAAAGTTTGAAGTTGTAAGAATTAAATTTGAAAATAAAAACTGATTTGTAAGCACAAACAAAGAAAGCATATGTAATAATAAACTTAAGCATAAAAGCTTATTTAAAAACCCGATAAGTCACAACTCTTTCTGATGATCATTTGGACCAACCTTACTGACGAAAAAAAAATAGAAGTTTGCTGGAGTTGGAGCTAAAGTAGATGCATAGTAATGGTTTTTATAGAGGTCAACCGGGTTGTCTTGCTTTTTCTTTTGGCTCGGAGACTCCTCT